CCTACTATCCCCCATGATATTCTTGATTGTGGTGGACTGGATCATGCAGCAAACAGTAGGCAGCGAGAAGAGGGGGATACACTGGACGACGGAAAAGAACCTAGAAGACTTGGATTTCGCCGATGACTTATGCCTAATGTCACATAAACTTGAAGATCTGCAGGCAAAAACTAACAAGTTGATAGAAGAGGCAGCGAAGACGGGACTTCAGGTGAATATAGAGAAGACAGAAGTGATGAAGATACCGCACCACCACCACCAACAACAACAACAACAACAACAAACTCCAATCACCGTCAACGGGAGAAACTTAAAGGAAGTAACCTCCTTCACTTATCTAGGAAGCACTGTTTCAACTACAGGCGAGACGGAGGAGGACGTCAAAGTCAGAATCGGAAAAGCAAGACAGGCGTTCATTAGCCTGAAACCAGTGTGGAGATCTTCTGCACTCAGCATGCGGAACAAGATCCGGATTTTCAACACCAACGTCAAGTCAGTGCTCTTGTATGGCTCAGAGACTTGGCGCGTCACGAAAGGGATTTCCAATAAACTACAGACATTCATCAACAACTGCTTACGCTCGCTGCTGAAGATCAGATGGCCAGAAAGAATAAGCAACAAGGAACTCTGGGAACGAACAAACCAAGAACCTATCACACAACAAATATGCAGGAAGAAGTGGAGATGGATTGGCCATGCACTGAGAAGGCCGACGGAGGACATCACGCGTCAGGCCCTCGAGTGGAATCCCCATGGGAAGCGACGAGTTGGACGTCCGAGGGTGACATGGAGAAGGTCGTGCGAGGAGGAAATGAGAGCTTGTGGGCTGTCGTGGGACCAGGTTCAAAAGATCTCAGAGAACAGAGGTCACTGGAGGCGTGCTACTGAAGCCCTATGTTCCACTGGGAACCCAAGGGACTAATAATAATAATAATAATAATAATAATAATAATAATAATAATAATAATAATAATTCATCATAGATTGACATCAATAGGAGGAACAATAGAAACGTCAGACGAAATAGCTGTCCAGTGCTCCCGGGTTTCCATTATTCCTTCAAATGATGTCAGTCTACGATGAATACCAACTTGAAATAAAATGTATGTTCACCATCAATGGCTAATGGGTTAATACTAGGTCACTAAAAATTGTTTATAAGATGGCAGTAAATAAATAAATAAATAAAGTATTATGAGGAGATTATGATTAAGATAAAATTAGAGATTGGCTATATCTCTTTTAAATGCAGAGATCAGACTTGAACTCGCTTTATATGACCTATGTAACCAGGGGAATTGGTAAGCATACATAGAGTTGACCTAAATTGGTAATTAACTCTGAATTAGCTGTTGACTAGAGAAAACAATATGAAGTTGAGTAGAAAAAAGTGTCTTCTTCAGTGTACTCTATTCAAACTCATCTCCCAACACCACCCTACATGGCTGTCTGCAGGAAAGTGCAAACCGATTATCCACTCTGGTTAACTCTAACCATTCTGCTCCACAAGAATTTTTATTCACAGTCATTTATGGAAAGAAAGCAAACATTCCGAAGGAAGTGCAGATTTTTCACCTGGACACAGAAGAAGCTTTGATAATTCATCAGTTCAAGCTTGATAAATCTAATCTCTAATTTTACCTCCTTATGATATTTACTTATTTATTTTGAGGTGAATGGAAGATTTTAATTTTGAGGTAGTATATATCACATACTGATATCAGCTGGAGAACTATGGGAAGCCTAGGGGCACTTGACAACTATTTCGTCGCAGTACGGAAGTCCTCAGGAATACACGTCGATGACCAAGCTATGGGTCGTACTCTGGAGCTCCAGGTTCCACGGGGAACGCGTTAACCATTCATTCACTAAGTCAGAACTCAATGGTTCACATTTTCCAACGTCAGTCAGTTCACGATAAAGCACGACTATCATCCAGGGTCTTTGGTTGGCATCCACTTTCCTTCCGACTAATTGACCCCACAGGTCACAACTTCTCATTAGAACTTCGGAGTATCTACCTAGAAGCATATCAGTAATGACCACTATACAGTAATCTATTTATCTATTGTTTTCATTTTGATTGTCTGAGATAGCTGTAGTTTACTAGACTACTATTGATACTGAGTAATGATTGAAGGTGAAATGAGAATTTGGACCACGGTCGAATTCGAACCAGCGACTACTGGCTTTCATACCTGGTGTTCTACCAATTGAGAGACGAGGCCAGATTTTCATTTCATCTTCACTAGTCATCCAGTAATAATACTAGTCTACCAAACCACCTCTATATCAAACAGTCAAATGATGATCAAGATAATGCTCCCCCTGTCCAATTCAGTTAGATTTGCAGTGGGATGCGAAGTTCAGACCGGGCAGCCAGTGTGATATGATCAAGTGGTGATAAGGTGTCACGAATTCGCATGGTAGTCAGACAAAACTGTTGGTGATTGAAGGTGAAATGTGAGTCTGGTCAGTAGTCGCGCCTCATACCACAGTTTATAGAGCACCGGGTAGGAAACCCAATGGTCGCTTGTTCGAATCTTGCCACGGTCCAAATTCTCATTTCACCTTCAAACATCACCTAGTATCAATACTAGTCTGCTAAACCGATAGCTATCTCAGATAGTCAAAATGAAAATAACCAATAAATGCACTACTGTACAGTGCTCATTGCTGACATGCTCACTGATGTATATACCGAAGTTTTAATGAGAAGTGAATCGACAGAACTCCAATATAAAGATTGTTAGTGAAGAGATGTAAATTTTAAACTAGAAAATGATTAATCACTGAACTTTATCAAAAAGTGTTATTCCTTGTACTATACGGTCCTTGATTGGACCGAATTGATCGGTCTCTTTTGGTATATGGGCTGCTGTGCGGATGCCTCGATATTGCCTGTGTTCTCAATTGTATAGTAATGATGGATAGTGGCTAGCAGTAGAATCCAGGATGTGCATTTCGTCCTGTCTGGGACTCGTCAGCTGGATATACCTGCCGTCTCCCAGTGGATGATGTTGTTGTAGCCCACAAACCAACGAATTCATTGCACAACATGCATAAACCGGAGATCTGTTGGCAAAGGATGACAGAGCAAATATATTCTACAAAATCAGTTGCAAAGATTGTTCATATATATATATATATATATATATATATATATATATATATATATATATATATATATATATATAATAACATCGCCTAGTTAACTAGTTCACTAGTTACTAGCCAGTCCTAAGCCCGCATAAACAGGGAAGGTTGGGCAAGGGCTAGCAACCCCACCCCGGAAAACAAATCCAACCGCCACAGAAACTTCAAAGCACAAATAAAATATGAAAAATAAAAACAAAATTATTCCTCACTGGAATCGGTGAGGCGAAATGATGCCAGTTGATGAAAGCCTTCGGGAGACCAATTGGCCGATGTGTCTTCTCTCCCTCGATGAAAGCGAAGGTAAGGATGGGGATATGGAATGTAACAAGAAAGGTTTCGTTAGACGTGTTTAAAATAATGAAATTAAGGATGTGACGAAACTCCCTCCGAATAACTGGATAAGCACTGTCATAATCCCACACCGTAAGGAGACTTCAAAAGAGATAAAAAGGATTGTCAACATATACGACATAAGAATTTACTTCAATGCATCAAATACCCTACGTTCTAACTTAATGAAAGTTAAAGATGTAGTACCTAAAGAAAATCAACAGAATTGCCTTTATGAAATCAAATGAGGAGATTGTACTGCAGTATATGTATGGGAAACAGCCAGGAAGGTAAGTGTGAGAGTCAATGAGCATAAACTATGCTTAAAGCAGATCCCAAAAACCTCAGCAGAGGTTAAGAAACAAGAAAGCAAATCCGTAATCGTGCTATACTCCATAGAAATGGGACACAAAATTGACTTTGACGGAACTAAGGTTCTACAAAAAGGTTTTGGGTCATATCAAGAAAGATTGACAGCCAAAGCCCTACATATATGGACGAGGCAGTTTGAACAGACGAGATGCACTACAGTTAGCTGTCTCTTGGCAATTACTAATTAGTTAACAGAGAGAGTGACACAAAGCATTTACCATCAACGCCAGTTTCAACTTCATTATTTCTGCATCAGCAACAACAACACAGTCTGGATTGATTTGATTCACTATTACTGCCATCATTTTCATCACCGTCTTCATTATCATTACTAATTTCCGGTAAATCAACCGAAAAAATTGTTAATACTATTCGCCACCATATTCCAAATGAAATTGCATACATATCCCCTACATCCATTCCGTTGTACTTATAAAATTACCGAATGACTATAAGCCACCGGTGTCCTTTTTGTCTGATATTTAAAACCAAGACAAATATGAAATGGAGTACATATATACATACACAAATAGCATACATACAACATACACACACTCATATGCCATGTAGCGGACGCTGCTGATCAGAATGGATATAAGTAGGGCAACAGAAATCATAAGGTAAGAAACTCAAGAGACAACGCTAGCGTAGAAAGAGTAAATCAAGAGAGAAGCAGAAGAGGAAATGAAGTACATTTTGCAAATGACTGTCTTAGTGCAAGATGTACCATATTTAACGACTACTGTACCACTTGTTAACAATGTACATACATTCCTTCGTCTCTGTCTTCTCGTTTCCTTTCATTCATACAACAAAGTACTTACAATTTCACACTGAATGATTAGTTATCATAATTTAGAAAGACAATGACTATACAAAGAGGACTGGATAAGGAGATTAAAATACAATTTTTTGGGTTCATTTATGCACCCATGATATTTTACTTCTGATTATTATTTTCCTGAAGAAGCTCGGACCAGACTCTCATGTGAAACGTTGGAATTATTTGATCTCAAACCCAGTGTGACTCACACAAATACAACCTTTTACTCAACGCCTTATATTTGCCATACTACACGATCACATCTTGATCACAGTTTATATAAAGAATAAATTTATATAAAATTGTATAAACTAACAACTAAAATGACTGAGTACAATTTCCCCTGATCCGTCACATTGTATCACTTTTAATCTAATTCATAACATTTGCAGAAATAAAAGTAAGCAAGATATTTCCACATTAAACTCACCTACCGATAAGCATAAAGATTAGCTGTGACTTGATTGAAAATGGACATCATGTGACAATATTATTGATCTGTAATCGATTAAGTAGTATAAAATAAGCTTTGTTTCTTTATTCTGTCTTAAGGTTTGCAGAGACATATTAACTGACATCAGGTTGGTATTCATGATGGACTGATATCATTTGGAGGAATATTGGAAACCTGGGAGCATTGGACAGCCGGCTGCTTCATCCAAGTATACAACTCCTCAGCAGTCCACATTACTGACCCCCACCCCACCCCACCAGGCACCGAATCAACCACCTCCAGGTTCCGTGGCCAACACATTACCATTGATCCACTGTGTTGCGATCCAACAGTTCATATTTCCAACTTTCAGTGCTCATTGGTGACTAGCTTTGGGAGGCGGTTCCTGAAGTTCCAATGAGAAGTCGTCACCAGTGGAGTCAACTAAGTCGAAAATGAGAATATTTGCACAACGACGACATTGGATGTAGATCACGCTTCATCGTGAACTGACAGAAATAGGAGAAATGGACCATTGGACACACGCACATACTGGCATACATTAGCTTAATGGTAACGTGTTGGTCACGGAACCTGGAGATCCTTGGTTCGATCCCTGGAGGTGTGGGGTCATGGATATGCACTGCTGAGGAGTCACCTAAAAGGAAGAAACAGCTATTCAGTGCCCCTGTCTTCTCATTGGTTCTCCAGCTCATATCAATCTGTAAATAATACCAGCTTGGTACTATATTTGGAGTTCATAGTACCCATTGTTGCTTCTTTGACTGCAGCACCTCAAATTTGCACCTTTCTTGCTGACTTCTCCTTCATGGTTGCGTTGAAATCTGCATGCAGTTTGAAACCAAGATGAAATGCAATCATTTTGCTTATTCCTGTGTTTCTACATTATTCCAACTTGATTCCCTATTACATACAAAGATTTTAGTCAACAGAAATGACAAATATCTCTCATGAAACAGTAGTGAAGATCAAGCCAAGACTAATACTATCATCATTTTCATCCAAGAAAACTCAAAGAAAAAACACACTACTAGAATCAATAAAACTGCTATTTCAGAATCCTTAACACTTCAATGAAGACATTAAGCCTGTATGCCTCTAATGTTATACAGACGAGTGGATAGACAGACACAACTGAGCCTCATTTCCAACTGTTACGCTGATACGAAGCGGAAATCTACACTTTGGGTCATTAGCCGATAACAGAGGTTTTGTATTTCAATTTTAATTTTATATCCTGGCATGATCAGGAGAACCTGAATGGATAAATTTTATTCTACAGTTGACCAATCAGAATAAACTATTAAACTTTTGACCTAATGTTTTTATATGTTCATGAAAACTGTATATAAATGAATGTATTTTTGTCGAATAAAGTGTCTTTCTTAAAGTCATAGGTCAGTCATTACCTTTTGTTTTTTTATGGCTCAGTGAAATATAAGGGGATGAGAGATAACAGTCGCTATTCATATCCAGTCCAAGCGTCTAATTTCTTACAACCATTTAAGTATTCCTTATTATTCGTTTGGTTACTTTACACCCTATTTATAAGTACAGTAAAGAAATTCAGGAATAAGACACTGGCCTACTTCATTAGTTTCTTCAATCTGGCTACATGGTCCTGCAACAAAAATGACACCTAATTGAAGCCTATCATAAATTCGTTTGACGAAATTACTTAATTTTTAGTTTTGTTCACTGGGTTAACATTTCAAGTAGATAAGTAATGTAATTAAAAAGTATTAAAAAAATGGTTTGTATAGCCACAAATAGAAAATAATTCATTATTAAATGCATCTTAACAAATTCTCAGTTTTAGGTTGGAATTCATAATAAACTGACACTCAGATTCAGATTTGTTGTTTGAGGATAGGAAGCTGGGTGCCTATATTAATTCTTTTCCAGTAGATTTCTGTGCTTGTCCAATCCCCTTTTGAACGAGTCAATTAATGATGCGAATACAACTTCTCCTGGGAGTCGGTTTCAGGCGTTGATTACTCGATGCAAGAACCAGTACTCTACGGAGACTATGTTCATTCTTTGCTTTTGTAGTCTCCTACCATGTCCTCTGAGGTGTTCCGACCTAGTGGGAAGGAAAAGAGAAGATAGATCAGGTCCGAAGTCATTTCTTAGAACCCTGTATGACATGATTAGGTCTCCCCTCTGCCTGCTATAGGACACAGTGAAGAGGTTCAGCTTCTTAAGTCGGTCTTGATAGGTGACGCCAGCAGTCGCAGGGATCATACGAGTGACTGCCCTCTGAACTCTTTTTAGAAGGTCTGCATCACCTTTCAGACAAGGGTTAGCCGCCCGTGTACAGTTTTCTAATTTAGACCTAACTAAGGATGTGTATAAGATGGTGAACATGTCACCACTTATTTTCGTAAACGTCCTACGTAATGCCCAGAGAGTCCTAAAACTCCGAGTTGCTACCAATTGACAGCGAGCTGTGGTTTTCCAGTTATAACTCACCGTGACTCCTAGATCATTGTGGGTCAGTACTGGCGGTAAAGGAGCCCCATCAATATCGTAGGTGTTGCTGTGTATGTGCTCAAAGTGCATGCTCACACATTTACCTGCATTAATAGACATTAACCACTTCTCTGACCAGGTAAACAAGCTGTTCAGGTCTGCCTGAGGTGCACGTATTTCCTCATCGTTCCTAATTTTTCGCCAGACTTTTACATCATTAGCTTAGAGGACCTTAGGGGATTTCGTGATATTTGGCAGCTCATTTACGTATAGGAGAAAAAGTAGGGGGCCCAGGACTGTGCCTTGTGGCACTCCACTCTCTACTGACTTCCAAGTGGAGAGTTGAGAATTGATCCTAACTCTCTGTCTCCTGCCAACAAGAAAGTCTCTAATCCATGAGAGCAGACTGCTAGTGATTCCAAAACTTTCCAGTTTTCTGAGCAGCCTGGAATGAGCTACTTTGTCGAACGCCTTGCTAAAGCTTATGAAAATGACATCCACAGGTAACCTATCATCTTTAGACTTAACCCAACTTTCTCTGACTGTAAGAAGGTCCATCAAGCAAGAGAAATTTCTACGAAAACCATGCTATGAACGAGACAATAGAGTTTTGCTTTCTAGGTGGACTATGATGGCTTTCTTGACTACTCTTTCTAGGATTTTCACTACAGTACTAGTCAAACTTATCGGTCTGTAATTTGATGGGAGCTGCCTAGAACCTGCCTTGTGGATAGGTGTTACTATGGCATCCTTCCAGTCATAGGGGAATGTGCCTTCACTGAGAGACAGTCTGAATATAGTAGTCAATGGGCTGGCTACATAGAGTGTAAGCTCTCTGAGCAGCTCATCCGGTCCCGTTGATTTTTCTACATCGGGAGTAGTGAATGTCCGAAATGCATCATTTTGATCAAAACCCACAGAGTTTATTCTGTTGGATATCAATGCTTCTACTGTTGGGCAACTGTCCACCGAGGATTCCTGTGTGGAGATCTCAGCAGAATATCCAGCCATGGCTTCTACTTTTTCCCTGTTGTCCTCAATCAAACAGTCATTTCCTGTCCCATTGATTAGGGCGGGTATACCACAGCACATTTAATTTCTATAGTTCATATGGGGAAACAACTTCGGATGTTGCAATGCAGCCTAGGCAAGACATGTTTCAAAGCATATTCGAGACCGGCGGATAGCAGCGATACATCTATTTCGGGCTTCTTTGTGGTGATCCATCACCTCGACTCCAAAACTTTTTCTTATGTCGTAGCAAGATTAGGATTTCGTAGTTTATCCATGGAGGACGGCGTTTCCGTCCCCTCGGGACAGTCCACGAAATGAACGGTTAGGTCACTCGTGCATATGTTTGAAGGAGCACCACGCATCTTCAACTGAGGCTTCTGGATTGACTTTCCAGTTTTTCGAAGAGGCTTCCGAGTTAATAGTTTTCATATTCGCTTTCCAAATGTTGGGTCTAGCTGGGACATCGGCCTGGTACAAGACGTCTGCTGTAAATCTGAAAGTAATCACAGCCTGATCAATTTCTCCAAGGGGTGCTAGGTGCCAGCCGCATGAAGCATACATCATCTGTGTGTGAGAATACTAAGTCTAGAACTGATGGAGCACGCTAATGATCACATCTGGTTTCTGTCCTAATGTGCTGTATGAGGGACCAGGAAATTGATGTTTCCACTAGCCAGTGATCAAACGAATTACGTGGTGCTTTTGTTGTTAGTCTATTCCAGTCAACTGATGGTGCGTTGAACTCTCCTACAACTAGACATCGGCATTTATCTGTCCAGAGGATCAGCTTACTCAGGAGGAGGTCTGCTGCCTCAGGTTCGGGGCTTCGATATATTACAATTACGTTAATATCTTGTCCCTTGCATTTTAGTTGACAGCACAGCATTTCAAATGTCCCACTTTTATGTGCAACCGCTCTTTTGGCTTTTACAGTTAAGTTATTATAACATGAAGGATGACGCCACCATCTCTGTGTGCCAACCTGTCAATTCTAAAGGGGACGAATCCTCACAAGTGTGTTTCACAGTCAGTGATCCAAGAAGAGACCCAAGTTTCTGAGATAGCAATGATGTCAGAGCTTTCGTTGCTTATCACAGTGCTAAGCTCAGTCCACTTGTTTAAGAGACTACGTACGTTTGCGTACAAGACAATGAAACTACTTAAATGAGTTTCCGTCCTATCCATAGAGACTTCGGGATCATTTGTTGCCAAAACCTCACTACACGTAAATCCACTACTTTCAGATTCTGCTCTCCAGCTGCTAATCTGGATTTTAGTTATGCTTCTGCTTCTCGTTTTTTGATTCGATTCGCAAGAGCCAGATCCTTTCGCACGAACACTCCAGATCCTTGAAGCCCGTGAGCATTCTTAAGAATGTGATTCCTCTCATCTGCTGACTTGAACATGACTTTAAGTAGCCGAAACTT